ACAAACCTTATACTTTATATAAAACGTTTTCATTTTGTATAGTTAAAATAATAAAGCGATGGAATTTTAATAAAAAGTTAGTATCAAAAATTCTTAGTGCATTATTAGAGATGTATTTTAAAATTGGCTTATTATCTAGCTTTTCTCACGGCCTAGATAAAGTGACAGAGAAGACTTATTCGCTTGTATTATGCAAGAGCATGATTTTCAAGGTCATTTCTATATCAAGGCTGAATAAGTGTACCTAGAAATTCTAGATTTTTCACAGCTTTTTATATCCAGTAAATAAGGTAAGTAACATTGAAACCAACTTCTAAGTAACTTTATTTCTTTTAATTGTTTTATATAAGATTTGATAAAGATTTTGAAATTGTAATTGACATATTTTTCATCCGAATTTGTGCAAAGTTGGAGACGAAAATGTCTTTTCAGAGGTACAAACCTAACAGTAGTATAAAATTTAATAATCGTCGAGCAAAAACGAATTAAATTGGATAGATCATATCAAAGGAGTCTCTTTTGAGCCGAAGATATAGGGTTGTATCACAATTGAATACATAATAATACTTAATCACATAGTATTACTCTCCGTAATGGGCTTGTTAATTTTATAAGCACCTACTAGCGGCGGTGTTATATAACTCGCCATAGTGAATGTACAAAGCAATCCCAGGTTTGTGACATCAGAAGAGTAGAGAACTGTAGACATTGGGAACAAAATCTTTATATTTAAGTTGTAATCACTATCGATATTGGAAGTTACAGGGTACTGGCGCCGGTTGCTGGAGCTTTTCTTTAATAAGGATACAAATAAATTCTATAATTTTTAATATTTTTACATAGCTCATTAAGTTTTTAGAAAATATTATAGTTATAAATCGCAAATGATTTCTACTAATTGACTCGTGGGAATTGTTTAATTGTATTTTTCTATACAAGTCGTGTATGTTATATCGTTTCCTTTACAAATTAGAACGGTTCAACGATCTTAAGCCATTTGCAAAATTTGAATTGCATCAGATAGGCCGTTTTTTGGTCACAATAATTTTTATTCGTTTTTAGAACAAACAACATATTGTATGTAGTAAAAATACAATAGAGCAGTGTTGGCCTAGTGGCTTTAGCGTGCGACTCTCATTCCTGAGGTCGTAGGTTCAATCCCTGGCTGTGCACCAATGGACTTTCTTTTTATGTGCGCATTTAACATTCGTTCGAACGGTGAAGGAAAACATCGTGAGAAAACTGGCTTGCCTTAGACCCAAAAAGTCGACGGCGTGTGTCAGGCACAGGAGGCTTATCACCTTCTTGCTTATTAGATAGACAAATGATCATGACACAAATTCAGAAATCTGAGGCCCAGAGCCATTTAGGGTTGTAGAGCCACTGATTTATTTTCTATTTTAAAAAAAACAATATTTACCGTCGTCTATCAATGAATTTGCAATGGTGTTACATTTAAGCAACCCAAAAAATTCACTTTCTTCGCCCAACGCTTTTTCTCCTTGCGAGGTCCTTAAAAACAAAATTATAACTAACATTTTAAAACTCACATTAGATACATTTACTAAAAAATCTCAAACAATATCTTGTAAACTGTCCTATGCTGATACAGAAAATGTTCTCGTATTGTGCTCGTAAAAGACAATACTACAGTTTACATGTCAAAAGCAAGAGATTGGCTGCCCACAACACAGGGAATCCTAGTGTTCTAGTGCACTTTACCTAAATATCCTGAATATTGAGTATAATAAAGTATTTTCTTTTCTTGAGATAATAGGTGAGAAAATAGGTTTTTTACTTAAATACATTTTCCTTGTACTGTTACGAAAATATGCTTATTACACCTATTATACCCTTGAACTATAAAAAAAACCTTTTTCTACGTTATATATCAGTGTCTAGGGCTCTTGGCGACATGGCTCGTTCATAATCTTGTTATAACGACTGTTTTGTACAAGTTTCAGTCACAAACAGACGAGTAAACAAAACAATATTCATGTTAGAAACGACCCATAAATTCGTCTCTGATAATAGTTACCAGAGAAAAAATAGCAGTTTTTCTATCAACTTTAGTAAAACTAAGAAATTACGCAACAGTGGATTTTATTTAATTCCTCATTTTATTTATTTATTTATTCAGAAGATTCACAGCACAATACAGAAATAGATATATATATCTTAATATATATATTTCTTCTGTGCGTGTGTATGTGACTGAACTCCTCTCAAACGACTGGACCGATTTTGATGAAATTTTTTGTGTGTGTTCAAGGGGATCTGGGAATGGTTTAGATTCACAAATCAGCCCGGCAGATGGCACTGCAGTCGGTACTTTCATACTTTGCTTAATATCCTAATCGCTTTAAATATCATGCAGGACAACGTCTGTGGGGTCCACTAGTATATATATATATATATATATATTAACATTGAGGGCCAATTACAAATCTTCACATATAGTTTTTTTTTCATGAAACAAGAAGGTAAACATGCCAAATATTTTTAGCGTAAAACACAAAAGAAAAAACAGAATTTAATTAGTTGACAATGAAAGGTTATCAATGTACTTCATTGATCCATTTATGTTTATTTTTGTAAGCATAAGAACATTTACAGATGTATATTTTTATAGATGTATAGATGTTTGCGAAGTTCCTAAATGCCTAAACATATATTTTTAAAATTTTCAGTGACCATTTTCAATAGGCCTATATAGGTAACGTAGACCATGTTTGCCAATATTTGTTGTGACAACAAACAGTACGATCAATTAACACAAGTTGACGCTTTTTTCTCTGCTCGCTGTAAAACTGAACTAACAGAGTGAGTACCATCGGTTAGATTGAATTTGTATTTCTAACCGTGTGGTTACTAACATTTTCCATTTTGCAATGTATTTATTTTATGTAGAACAGGCTTTAATACTGTGCCTGTTTCGTTCCTTTCAGTACGGTTATTACAGGATGTAATACCGGCAAGGAACGAAATAAAATATGATTTGTTATGTTCTTTATTTTGTCTTTATTATGATTAATCATTATTTAATATCATTGATTATCATTATACATTATTATCAATTATAAAATAAATGGTTCTTAATAATAGCTCGACAGGGGCTGGCAAAATTATTAGGTCGCTTTGTGTTTTGTAAGCGTATTTTTATTCGATCACAAAGAAATTGTTAAGATATATTTAAAAAAAAAAAAGTTAGGTGGGTAGGTACGTAGAGGCCTACTTAATTTGTCAAGGAATGTTTAGCCACCTATTTGTTTGAAATATGAAACGAGAAAACTGTGGTTACTCCATGCGGGGGCGTCCATCACTACGCAACCATTTAGAGAGCGACAGCGGGACGAGGGGGGGGGAAGGACGAAAAAGACTCACCCACGTACTTAAAATTAGCTTTTGGCCAAATATGTATAGCATTTAGAACGTCTTCAATTAAAGTTATTTATCTTATGTGTGTAGTTCGAACTTTGAATTAGGGACATTAAGTGAGCAAGGCATAATAACATTATTTTCATAATTCATCACGTTTATGAATAGTTTTGTTTATATACAATAATTACATAAATACATTCAAGCAAATTAAGGCCACAACTGTATGTGGGTATCCTCCACAAACTTTATAGACAAGCCATCGTGTCCGATTTTTCTCATAACAGTATTTTATTTATTTATTAACACTTCGTTGCATATAGAAATATAATAATTATTGTTATTAAGCCTTTATTGCTGACACCCAGTGTCCATATATTTACACTTATTTAAATTACATAAACTAACTTAATCTAATACATCATATGACCCGTTTTTGGTCTTTAGCGTGTCCTTTAACACATAGGCCTCTTCCATCTGCTTCCATTATTTCCTGATGTTAGCTCTTCTTGTCCAAGTTATGGCTCCTATTCTCTTTATATAGTCTAGCCATCTCTTGCTCAGTCTTCCTCTATTCGTTTTTCCATCGCGTGGTTGGCATTCTGTAATAATTTTTGTCTATTTCAACCTGCTATCTCTCATCATGTGCCCGGTCCAGCGCCATTTCAATTGCCTTATTTCCTTTATAACGTCCTCTACTTTGGTCGTTGATCTTATCTCTTCTGCTCTTTTTCGATTTCTCAGTGTTACACCCCCACCATGCTTCTTTCAATTCCTCTTTGGCATGTTCTCAACTTTAAAAGATGTTACTGAGATAATGCCCAAGTCTGGCAGCCGTATGTGACACATGGTACGATACATAAGTTGAACACTTTTTTCTTACAGAAATATAATACAATTGACATAATTAAATGAAAAGGAAGGCAACTGGCGGCCTTATCGCTTTCGAGCGATCTCTTCCACCACTGTGAGAGAGAAAAAAAGGAATTGAATTATATAAAGTAAGCAAGCAGTGCAAAAATACTTAAGACGTATAGTTATATAGACAAAACTAATGGAACAAAACAAAGCAATTAAAAAGCAAACAAACGATTAATGCAAACATTGATCAGGACAATATTAAAAAAAGGACACATGAAAAAGAAAAGTGCACATGGATCACTACAACTTAAAATCAGTTTCACATCAGTTAGTACGAAAGTTAGGGATACGATGTAGACAAGTAATGTTTGTACAGTAGAGAATTAAAGGAAGATAGAGAAGGAGCTTAGTGAATAGAGACGGGAACTAAACTCCATAGCCTCACTATTTACAAGTATTTTCTTCTTTATTTTTGTTCGTTGCGGCGTAAACTAAGTCATATACGTTACATCACTCTCCTCGACTCGCGGGTGCACAAATAGTTCTTAAGATTTTTTATTTAATAGCTTTTGTTTTATATTAACCTCACAGGTATCTCGAGTGATTTATTCATTTTATTTATCTCTATCTGAAAAAAAATGCTTATTCGTCGATACACTGAAAGCAAATCCGATCCAATGCCATCACACAGTAAGCTCGTATAATTTGGCTACATTTAAGCCTTAAATAAAATTCAAACGGCTGTAAAGCTATAATAGTGGATGTCTGTAGGATCGATCCGCAACGGGTGTGTTGAAGCACCCTTATCGAAAATCTCTTTGGAATACCAAAGTAAGTCTATCATTTTCTCTCGGTATGAAGTGTGAGGGATAAAGGATAGTTTTAGTAGTCGTTAACATCCGAGGATTGGAAACCGTAGCATTTTAAAGACATGTTTTGATATTGTGTAATAATAATTCCTATAAGTTAAGATTCTATCTAATTCCTATAAGCTTTCGACGAGCCTTAATATAACGTAGACCTATGATTTTAGTAAAATTTGAATTGTTGCTAATGAGGACTTTTCATGTTCAAGGCAATAATATATGAATAATAAAAAATAAAAGTAGACCTCCAACGGAGTGAAGGCCTCCTCCAAATACTTCCACTTGGGGACACCCATTCCTTGTTAAAATATCAATTTTTTCCCCGCTATCCTATCTATATATCTATATCATTTATTTCATTTTCCCGAGTTTTTGGTGGGCATCCTCTCTTTTTTCTTCTCACTGGGCCATTCCAAGGGTCTTTTTGACCCATCTGCCACCACAAATGTGGCCAATGTGACCGGCCCATTTCCACTTTAACTTCTTTGTATATATTACGTCTTTTATTTTTGTACGGCGTCGTATCACATCGTCTTTTACTTTGTCTTTTAGTTACAATTGAAGAATCGAGTGCTCCATAGCCCTTTGTACCTATAATAAAATAAAATAATTATAAACGGCTAATTAATTCGTGCCAGGAGCATTTTGTATCGATTTCAAACTTTTCAATGTAAACCCTTCACAAGAGACAACGATATACATATTAAATACATCTGAACGTCAATTGTTTAAAGACTCTTGGGCCGTGGGGTTCAAGTGCATAGGCGCTAATGAAAGAATTATGTTGGCGCCTGGTAGATAATACCGGTGACCCCAGAACTGGTGCTTTCCTCGCTCAACGAAGTATCGCAATATATCTATACGTATATCTATATAATATATCGCAAAGACAAAACTTTATATTAATTTTTATTATTACTGTGTAGGTTAAGAAAATTGTAAATACTGAATATTTGATTTTAATGTTTAGCATATATTCTATATGAATAAACAATAAAAACTTAGAGGGATTTGGTTTTATTAAAAATATTCAACAATGCCGGTTCGCACAGAATGACCCACAGCATAAATTTATATAAAACTATTTCGTAACCTCGGCCAACAAATTAATTGGGATGCTGTAGAACCGGGTCAAGCTCTAACAAACGATCATCGCTTTAATTTTTCTCATATTTTATCTTTAGAATACTCTGTGGATGTTTCATTTATTTCAATTTGCAACTCTGAATTCTTTTGTCAACGTTAGATATGAAATGACTAAATGTAAGAGAACTCATAATAACGATTTTATATCCATTGAAGAGAAATGACATTTCCATAACTTAAAGAGGTTTGAACCTTTCTATCTGGCGCTGCTTCATTTCCTTCTAAGTCAATAGATATTAGCATAAAAGTAATATCGGGCCTGTCTCAGCGACTCAAAAGACACCTGCCTTGCAGTTTCAAAAATATGAAGCTCTGGACGATGAATGTATATTTAGGGACTTGAATTATATTGTAACTTAAACTATTTCCAATTAAATTAAATGATTACTTATCTTTATACAAGCTATTCGGTACTGAATCTAAGCTTTCCTTGGTATTTAAAGTTTTTCCTTTGTAATTTTTAAATATTCATACTTGCTTTAATAGAACAAATATTATTACTTGAATATATTGTTTTTATACAATTTCGAAGTTTCGAATAATGTCGTACAACAATTTTGTTACTTACCGTAATTTTTTGTATCACGCTCTTCATGAGGTTTACGTTTCTATTTAGTTTAAGTTTTTTTTTTTTTTTTATTTTATGGTTGTTTAATTTGTTATAGTTATGTTCGGTGGCGGTTGTTGTTGATATGTTAAGATATAAGTTAAATGAAACACTGTGTCTGAAGCTGGGTATCAACCAACTTTTATCGTTTAAAATATGAGCTTATAACTAACATAAAATTAGGGGTAGTGGGGTTGCGACGCTAACAAAAACTAACTTAGCTTATCTAAGGGTTCATAAATCTAAGTGACACTTAAATACAAGCACAGTCGACCTTTTTGGACATTATAGGAAACAAGGAAACAAGTATTACAATTTATGAGTGTGGAAAAAACTAAAGGGCTCATTTTAGCTTCTTTCTAAAACAAATATTAGCAATCGTGCTAATATTTGTTTTACGCTTTTAATTATTAAATAAAATATATACAGGGTGGCCAAAAAGTCGTGGATCAAACGCAAATAGGGGATAGATGAGGTCATCAGCTGCAAAAAAATTGTTCAACGGGAGGTCTCTAAGCTCAACCCCTGCAGAGTTATAATTTATTTTGCGTTTTATAAGAAAATTGACTTTTTCTTACTAATTCTTATTAAAATTCGAAAAATCTACATCCTGTATCTTTCTCATAATATCCACTAGATTGGTACCGATGAGTTCTTGCGTTAGACATACTATTTATAGTTGTTTATTGAGTGTATTGAAATAATATTAAGTTATACGATATAATTTTTTTTCAAATCAAAACTTTTTGTTTACTTCGAACCCCACTGTGAAAAAACATTACTCTACCGAAAAGTGACCCTGTATTACAAGTTTTGGCGCATTTCATAGGGATTCTGAAAAGGTATTACACGTAGCCATGAGTGGCTCTAATATCTTTCTTAGAACAATTTTTTGCAGCTGATGACCTCATTTATCCCCTATTTGCGTTTGATCCACGACTTTTTGGCCACCCTGTATATGCAAATTGCCTCATGTTAGGTTACCTAACTCTAGTTTGAAATTTTTATGTTCTAATATAACTGATGTGTGTAAAATTGATGAAGTCATATTTCCTTGTATATTTTAAGCATACATGTTGTTTTAGGACTTATAAATAAATAAATATGCTATAGCTAGACATATATATAAGCTGTAAATTATATTTCTTCAAATTAAACTGTGTACAACATATATGAGAGCAATATCTCTTAATGCAGTTCACATCTCCGAGGTCATGCATTCGCAGAAATTAATTTTCTTTTAGATATGAAGAATCTGGTATATCCCATACCCAAAAATGAAACATGTATCACCACAGAACGACGACAACATTCCCTTAGGAACCTATGGGGCTTCCCATTGAACGAACTAATTTAAAATATGTATAACCGATAAAATCAGAAGAATTTACCTTTATAAAAAATATATAAGGGAAATATCAAAATTATACTATTAATTTATTCCCCTTTTACAAATTAACAAGTCCCTACAAAACTCGTTAGCAAGGATGTAATTGATATCTAAACGGGTTCGCGTCTCGTAATTTTTTACAATTATCTACGCAATTACAACTCGTTTAAACAAATGATTAACAATTACTCGTATACGGTAATTAAATCATTACCTGAGGGTAAAGTATTAAACTTTAATATATAATGTATTGTCCATAATATTTGCAATGCTTTACCTACACGAATGTCTCAGATATTTTCGCGCTTTCGCCACTGCATTGACTTTTACTTTTGCCGAACAACATTTATAATACATATTTTATATTGATTATTTTTATTGCACTATATTGTTGTATTTCTACGAACAGTTTTTAGTTCTAATATTGAATAAAGGATTGTATATTGCTATATATAACCTTGCCTCAATCTGGTTGATGTGTTATGTATTATTTGATATGATTAAATGAAAATTAGGTTCGTATACACGGAAAATTCATGCTTCAGTTTCGAAGGTCCTAAAGTCGAATTACTTGCTTGTTAAAAAAAAAATATTGAGTAGGATAATAGTCACAGAAATGCTAATCTCCACTGAATCTTAATAGATTTTACTTAGAATCACATCGTGAAGTCACAATTCGTACTTCGTTGAACGCAATTCTTTGTTATGCGTCAATATCCGGCAGCGAGATAAAATATCACGTTGTTTTGTACAAATAAATCTGTTTTTTTCTATTACATTTATTTTAATATAACCAACCAGATACAGAAATATGAGTCTAGAGTTTTTTACGCTTTTTTTGCCATATGAAAAAGTATATAAAAACTTGCGCAATAATAAAAATTGTGATAAAACTCGGGATATTTTTGAGCTATTCGTGAACAACAAACATAAAATACCCTCTATTAAATTCTATTCCAGTCAACAATGCATTATATAATACTTATCTGAAATTGTATATCAGAGTAATGAATTAGATCATGATTTTATATTTATACTAGCTGATCCGGCAAACGTCGTTTTGCCATGTACAACAATTTATAATAAAAAATAGGGGTTGATCGTATAGGGGTGAAAATTAGGTTGTATGTTTTTTTTAATGCTGTATCATAAAAAAATAAAGATTTTTTTTATATATTAGATTTCTTAAATCAACAAAGCAGCTAACGGATTAAAATTTGTAAGTCTATATTACTTGGCATATTTTAGAAAATTATAACGAACACAACATATTTTTAAGTAGGACCGTCTGACAGCAGGCTTATTCGGAGAACGATAATAATAGTAATATATTATCACCTCGACGTCCGTCGTTCCACAACTAATTGTTTCTTAAGCCAATTTTTGCCACTACCACTACTTTGTGGAACCAGCTGCCTACTGAAGTATTAATAAGGAAGTATGACTTAAAATCTGGTGAGCCTCCTGCCCGTTTACCTCCTGTAACCTAAAAAAAATGAGATTATTTGCCTCTTCACGATTTTGCAGTTTATAAGTTGATACCATCTATGTGAGAGACTGTAATAGGACTATAGAATTATTATTAGTAACGATGTTTCAATGTTAATATTGTCATGTAAATTTAATGCTAAATTATTTTTTACCAATACGTAACGTGTCTGGTTTGTTTCAGAACATGGCGGAACACAAATCAAAGGAGGGTACATGTTACGATATAAACGTAAGTATGCTTAATTAGTTTTTTTATATATTAGGTCCTTACATATGAAATTGGCGTATTTCGTACTGGCCACTTTAATCACGATGTTCTCCTCTTTGGTAAGGAATTCAAATTTGTACAGCTATTTACTCATGTATTTGTGCTTCGATGACCGTCATTCATTTGTTTTTTTCTTCTGTTTTTTTCTGTTTGCGTCACTCATTTTACAAAATGGAAAACTTAAAGTATCGCATTATTTACGAGTACGAGTTCCGCCGTGGCACTAGTGCTGCGGAAACGACTCGAAGGGTGAATGATGTGTATGGCGGTCATGTTGCAAAAGAAAATACAGTTCGTTTTTGGTTCCAACGTTTTCGTTCTGGAAATTACGACCTGCAGAACAAGCCCCGTGGACGGCCTGAGACCCAAGTTGATAATGAAGTATTGATTGCTATTGTGGAAGCGGATCCATCGCAAACCACGTCCGAGTTAGCTGCAGGCTGCGGTATTAGTGATAAAACTGTTTTAATTCACTTGAAGCAAATTGGGAAGATTAAAAAGCTTGAAAGATGGGTACCTCACGAATTGACTGAAGCAAACCGGCAAACGCGCGTCGACTGCTGCGTTACATTACTGAACCGGCACAATAATGAAGGTATTTTAAACCAAATCATAACCTGTGATGAAAAATGGATTCTTTACGATAATCGGAAGCGCTCAGCGCAATGGTTGGATCCTGGCCAGCCAGCCAAATCCTGCCCCAAGCGAAAATTAACCCCAAAAAAGTTACTTGTAAGCGTTTGGTGGACCAGTGCCGGTATTGTTCATTGCAGTTTTCTCAAATCTGGCCAGACTATTACGGCTGATGTCTATTGTCAGCAATTGCAAACCATGATGGAAAAGCTAGCGGCTAAACAACCTAGGCTGGTCAATCGCTCCACGCCACTGCTACTTCACGACAACGCTAGATGACACACTGCACAACAGACGGCTACCAAATTAGAAGAGCTTCAATTGGAATGTCTAAGACATCCTCCGTACTCCCCGGACCTTGCTCCAACAGATTACCATTTTTTTCGAAATTTGAACAACTTCTTGCAAGGGAAAAAATTTAACTCTGACGGGGCAGTCCAAATCGCCTTCACAGATTTTATTGATTTTTTAGTAAAGGGATCAATGAACTACCTATGAGATGGCAAAAGTGCATAGAAAACAATGGTTCATACTATGATTAATTAAATATATTATATTTAAAAATATTCGACTTTTTGTTCCTCCCATACAAAACGCCAATTTCATATGTAAGGACCTAATATTTTTTAATTTAAAACATCGAAACCAATATTTTTAATATAAAGTATCTATATAATTGAGTGCGCCGTACTGCCTACAGGCTACATCCCCGCAAGCTACGCTGTAGCTCGTCGTAGACGTTTTATATCTGGGAACTAATCTAGAAGAAAAGCTCTGCTGTGATCAGGAAGCTGGCAGAGCATTTTACGCTTTAAAAAAATTTTTTTTGAACCTCTCTTTCTCTCTTTAATCGGCAGCTCATGTCTGAGCGTCTGGTCAGCTAGTAAGCCTCTGGAGCGGACTACTTGTTTCCGGACGATGAGTCTTTCGCTTGATAGTTCCATCTGGTTTGTGAACGACCACGTGATCTTTTGCCTTATGTATTACCAACCACGATCAGTTTCCCTAAATTCTCATCGCCTCTGCGCATTGTATAGCCGAAATAAGATACAATTGTATTGTTAGTACTGAGCAAGTTGTTGAAAAGGAAACAAAAATAGGAGGTTTTGAATTAAGACTTATGGTGAATCCTGACGTACTGCTAGTCAAGCCTCTTAAAAATGGTGTATTGTTGACTTCCACCATGGTGAGTGCAAACTTTTTGTTTAAAAAAAAGTTTTATATTTACAACAATAATTTAAAACGTTGTTATTAGACCACTCCCAAATTGCTCTCAAAGCATTCAAGCAGCGTTGACATTGACTTTATCACGCTTACTGACTGAGATCAAAAACCTACTCAAGTTCTGATGAAGATGTGATCGAAAGCGACTTGACTCGCACTTGGACGAAAGTTGCGACTAAGTGCCATTCAAGTTAAGAATCTTTATTTAACGATTTAGATTTTAGTCATGATTTAAAACAAGATTTTTTATTCAAATAGTAAAGAACGTTAAATGATCTGTGATATTTTTATGAGGTCCTGGTTGAATGTAATGTCCTGTTGATGTATTTAATAAAAAACACATAGAATTGATATTTATTTATTTATACGTTCCAAAATCAATGTGTATTCCTAAAAAATACAAGAATATATGACGTCACAAATTTAACACACATACAATTCAATTTTATTAGAACATAAGCACTACTATCAAATGAAAAAAATAAACAAACAACCACAAAATAACAACTAAAAAGAACTAATACTAAAAAGATAAAATAATAAACCAAAACTAAATGAAAACTTAAACCTCATTAAGAGATACTTCTCCTTCGGTTAAATAGGTCTCGTCTTACACTACAATATGTTACTTACAATATGTCCCCGGTATACGTATTAATTGGAGAAAATCGCAACAAGCGGAGCGGTATCTAAATTATACTAACGAGCCCATCAAGGCACGAATTGGATACTTGCAATACCCACGTGCAAGCCCAACAATCAATATTTGATACAGTAGTTTATTCACGTATCAAAATCGTCGGACCAATCGTAGAAATTAACTATAATTCTGTGTTCCGGATTATTTTTGAAGTTATTATATTTAATACTTCTTTAGGCGCGTTATGAAAAATTGATGAGAGTGAAATTGTACGATGCGCGCGCACCGTGACACAAAATTAACAGAATGAAGTTGCCCACGGAAGATGCTACGGCATTGGACATTATTTAAAAACAACATTCGAATAATAATAGAATTTATGTAACACTTAATGTAAGAGAATAATAATAAATACATATTTTAATAAAACACTATTTTGACCGGATTGAAGTTATGTGACGGTGACCGTGACCACGCACGCTGTAAAGCACGCGAAACGTCGGATAAATTTAAAATTATGTTAAATAGTTGTAAATTTATAATAATACATAACTTCAATCCGGTCAAAATAGTGTTTTATTAAATGAATAAAAGTTATGTTAATCAAAGACAATACTAAATACATATTTATTTAATTTTTCAAATGTAAACTAAACTTTATTGACTATAATGACTCCTTTTCCAGTCTTTGATTATTTAATTGTAATTAATTATTTGCATGCAATCAAAAACTATTTTTAATAATGCCAAAGAAGTATAACTTCTTACGCGCGTACATAAGTACACGCACCCTTTTTTTTTAACTTAAAGATCACGATTTATGAAGCAAGCACTACTACTGTTTCAGCGTTGCCGATTAATTAACGGTTTCTTTAAATATTTGTTAAAATAGATGCTTAAATAGAGCTTATGATGCTAAAATAGAGCTTTATGAAAAATTTATACAGCAATTCTACAAGACATTTCGCTGCACTAATAGGTTCCTACATATTTATTTCTATTAGTATGTGAATGTAGAAGGACTTACTATAATTACAACAAAATGCTAAATTGGGCTCGTTTTCAGTTTTTAAGTATTTTTGTTAATATGATGTATTTATTTATTTAGAGCTGTATTGAATCAAATAGCCCCCAAACCTCAAGTGCCTTTGAACCAAGGCTGCGCACTAATGGGCTTTGTTTTCTATGTGCACAAGTTACCAGCGCAGAAGGAAAAAATCCAAGGACTTTGTCAGGTTCCGAAGCCTGATCACCACCATTAACTTCACTCCACTCCAGCTTTTTTAAAGTTATATAACTGAACATTAATTTCAAACAATGTATGTATTTCTCTTACTGGCAATACTATTACCTTAATATTCAATTGGTGTTGATAAAATCATTAATCGAAGTCATTATCGACTGAGTGTTATGTCAATTACAATTATTGTCTTTGATATAACTTCATAGTTACGCAAATAAATGCAAGTTAGCATGCCCAAGTAATCGACTAATTGAACGTTGCGGTATCAGACTTATTCAATACGTAGTTTCGAGACGGTTTCATTACGAACGTGATTAAATTGGAATAATGATGTAACAATCTCTGTGTAATTATTACTGAACCTATAGTAAACGTTATGAGCTTGATTGGAATGTAAGTTTGAACATTGTATTATTGATATTGGTACAATATGTATAATTTAATTATAAATTATGTTTGATTATAAAAAACTTAGAGAGACTACGAGATAACTCTAAAAGGGACCAAATTCAATGTTGGAGGAAAAACTCTTATACTCGTATATTGTCCGTCTGTTCTCCGGCCTTGCCAGCTATATTTGTGCTTTATTTTTTTTGCTGCTTTTGTCCTTTTTTTTAAATGTAATAGGAGGCAAACGGGCAAGAGGCTCACCTGATGTTAAGTGATACCGCCGCCCATGGACACTAACAATGCCAGAAGGCTCGCAAGTGCGTTACCGGCCTTTCAAGAATTGGTACGCTCTTTTCTCTTGAAGGACTTGTGCTTGTCCGAGGGAAGTGTAACGTGTAACACAAGAAGCATTCCATACCAAAGCCCGTCATATTCTGCAAGGTTTCAAAGAGGATGTCTTTGAATCCAGCCGCTTGCCATCGTCCTTAGCCGCCAGTTCACTCCTTAGGGGATGGAACATTGTCGGAGCGAGAAAGCGGTGTATTCTGTAGTAGAGCGTTGGCGTGGCGAGAAGAACGACTGCACTCAGTTGACAATGAAGACCATAGCCGTCTTTTCTTTTTGGAGCAATTATACATTGCCATTTACAATGTTTAGAACTTTAAAACTGACAAAATCACCTATCGTTAAGATATTACGCACTATTAGGAGATTATTGGAAATATGTCCAAAAGAACAGTATAGTCTAAATAAAGATTTATACCCTAAATATCCACCTTCATTTGTAATTCCTAAATAAAAATATTTTCTTTAAACAAGCTACTTTATGTACTTCTTGTTTTGAGAGCTGTATTATGTAGTTAGGTTCGGATAAGATATTATTATTACTATTATGGACGGCCTGTTAGAATGAATATATACTGTAAAATAATATTATATCTTGTGTTTTAGGAAAGTACTTGTGGAACTCGTGGTCCGAGGAATGGGTAGTGCTATATGATGATTCAACTATGGCTTGGTTTAAGGTATGTACACAACACATTTCGATTATAGAGGTAAATGTATATGAATATGTTGTTATTTTTAAAGAGATGGAACTCGTTTTCTTCATTTTAGAAAGTAGTTATAAAAGAGTACTTTTAGTCCGTCTCAAGGTGTACGTTACTCCAGTTCATTTATGAATGTAGGTTAATAAAACTTGCCTATACGATGATTGAAAACACCGTGAGGAAATTTAAAAACGAAAAAAGAACATGATAAGAAAATAATCTCAAAGTGAAGAGCGGTAATTGTAGCTACTATTTATTTAAGTTAAACAAATGAGGCTATTAAATATTAATTCCATGCAGACTTCGAAAAATAAGAAACTGATAGTTACCAGCAATGACAGGTTCAATATAGCGTCTAATAAGATGCGTAATTGAATTCAAAGAGAACATTAATCACGCCCTTGTCACTATACTTCCGACATCTTGCTTCTGACGTTTCATTTAGCTTATCTCGGGAAGCTTATAAATCATAACGATTAGATAAAAAATTCGACAGAACAATAACCGTTATGAAAAATTGATGAGAGTGAAATTTTACGATGCGCGCGCACCGTGACACAAAATTAACAGAATGAAGTTGCCCACGGAAGATGCTACGGCATTGGACATAATTTAAAAACAACATTCGAATAATAATAGAATTTATGTTACACTTAATGTAAGAGAATAATAATAAATACATATTTATTTAATTTTTCAAATGTAAACTAAACTTTATTGACTATAATGATTTCCTTTTCCAGTCTTTGATTATTTAATTGTAATTAATTATTTGCATGCAATCAAAAACTATTTTTAATAATGCCAAAGAAGTATAACTTCTTACGCGCGTACATAAGTACACGCACCCTTTTTTTAGCTTCCCGTTAAAATATCAACCACTGGAGCTCTTCTAGAATGAAGCGCTAATGACACAAAAATGTTTGTTTTCTAAATCGAAAAATAGCCTATCGTAAGATTAACCCTGAGGTCATACGTTCGACCTACCCCGTCTGTGAAGGAAAGGGATCTGCGATATTTATCGTATAAATTAACCTAATTCCCTCTTTGACTTCAGCTAATCTAATATATAAAATTCTCGTGTCACAATGTTGGTTCCCATACTCCTCCGAAACGGCTCGACCGATACTTATTTATGCATATCTAGTAAGTCTGAGAATCGGCTACTATATATCCATCAAACCCCTAAGTGATAAGAGGTTTCCACGCCAAAAAAATTATTTTTATTTTTTAGACAACTTTTTGTTTTTTTTATGATACAGCATACAAAAATCCACACAACTCCTAATTTTCACCCCTCTACGATCAACTCCTATATTTTTATTAAAGTAGATAGTTATTTTTATTGAACTAAAAAATGTTCCTAGAAATAATATACATGGCAAAACAATGTTTGCCGGGTCAGCTAGTTTTTATATAAACTTTTACAAAGAATATTCTCATTCATAATAAGGCTCAGAGATTTTTTTTAAATCAAAACCCAGCAATTAAAGAGAACAATATGAACAAACATCAGAAACTAATCAAACGCTTGCCCAACTTGTTTCGTACTACAATAAAATATGCAAACGGTTTTGAACTTTATATTCACATAAGGAGCGCCTACATTCCCCCGAAACAACTCCTTCTATTGGCAACTTTAATTAATACTTTGGTATAATTCAAGTAATTGGTTCGTGTATAAATTATTCGCTTTGGTAACCTGCGCAATTTGTTCTGAATGTCATTTTGAGGTGTTACGCTTTGAGTGCCTAGAAGTGCTGCGTCGACTTCTTCGATTTCAAAGGATTCAATTAATAACAACCTGTGTCCCCAAGGGTTATCATTTAGGATTGCCTCATTCTTCATAAAGGACCTTGCAAATTCTTCTACTTTCGAAAAACATAAACCCTTATTTTATGGAGAAAATTTTAATGTTATTTGAAATGTGTCTCAATGTCTTATAACCTAATGAGTGCAATTCATTCACTGAAATAATGAGAGTTTGAGACAATTATATAATAATAGCAAGCAAGATAAATTATGTTTTATTTAAATGTTATATATTCCTGAGACGGTAAATGTGTTAATACGATTTTGAAGGAAGGAACATCTAAGATTGTCGTGTACAAACAACATATTACTTTTGCTATTCTGAAAAATAATAATCATAAGCAAAAGCGTATTGTTTCTTCCATTGCCAACAATAATTGAAATTATTTGTAAAATAATTATAGCAACGTTAAATAATAACTGTAAGTCAAACAATTTAACGGTTTACATTAAACATTATATTTATGTTCATCTGTTAGCCCCAAAATAAATATAATTACGAGAAATTCGGTTTTAGTATGTTTCACGGCTAATAAAATATATTTCGTTCGACGTAACAATAACACGACTCCCAAGTTACGATTGGTTTCCATCTCGATTTCCTACACAATACGTTTGGTTCAGAAGATTTTGCTTATTAAGAAATTGGCCATACTTTCTGCTTCATTACGTTTTTCTTATTTGTGAATTGTGATACAATAATGTTTATAAAATATCACTAACCGGCTTTCTCCTTTTTTATGAATAATTGAATTATATTACGTTATTCACAGTATAAAATGCATATAACTTTTTTAAAAACCAAGGGAGCGTTTATGCATATCCTATAACTCAGTCAGACAAGAGTCCACAAGCATCGTAATATATTTTTAAGGGTAAAGGAATAGTTTAGAGAAAAAAAAATCAAACTGATCTAAGAAGAAATTAACTGAACTTTGCGAACAACAACATAACTAGTTAGCAGTAACTAATAAGTTAACCATCTTATTAACAGTCGGAACACTGTGCCATTATATTTGACTAGTGCAAAAACAGATGGTTGATTTTTGACTAAACATGTTGCAAAATTAGCGTACATTTCTTGGATAAGGAGCACTAAAAATGGGACAAACAAAGGCGGTAATAAATCGTCTGCGATCGCTTCATCAATTATTTCGAACGACACTCTATCGGGGTTTTATACTAAATGTGTCACCATTTGATCGAGGAAGGGGTTCCTAAGCATAAATCACTACCCTATCCTTCTCGTCCACCGGGTTTTCTATGTATTATCTCTTTCACACTTTTCACAGTTTTGCCAGTAATAAACCTACTTCAGAATCGATATTTATTGTTTACCGAATCGTAGTCTACTTGAGATGTATTTAAATATTATATTTTGACAATACTATTGCTTACAGCATTGCTCATTAAATATATTAATAGTTTATTTTCTTTTTTAAAAGCCAAATAACGTTAAGTTTTAAAGTTTGTTGAAATATTACGAGCTTTTGTTGTTTTATTATATTATACACTCGACTCAATTGGCTATCAATTACTTGGGTCCGTTTCTTAGGGTAGCATGAAAATGTCTGTGAGGCAAAATTATGATCAGTTACCATAAAAAAACCTACTGTATTATTTTGAATATATAAAAAGGAAAATGAAAACAGTGACTTTTCATATTACCGCCTGTATAACAAATGGTTCTTGTTAAGAGATAATAAAATGTGATAACTTTAATTAATCGCCTCGAAGCCATCCAAGATGGCTGAACGGTATAAATTGTGAACATTATAATGAAAAAACTCGCTGCTGCTGACAAGGGACGGGTGGTTGCGGAATAATAAAGGGTGATGGAATATGCATGAAATTGCCGTGCAGTTGTTTTATGCATTCTGCGTACAATACTCCCAAATAATATTTGTATATTATTTGGATATTGGTCACACGAAAAGGCTGTACTTAATTGGAGGTGAAAGGTGTACATGTCTAAGTGTAGTGTGTGAATATGTATATATCACAGCCAACTAGCTTAATTAGGCGTTCAATCAACAGACTAGCCTCTTTGTTAAACTGTTTAACAAATGCTACGGCTGAATATTCAGGCCGCGTAATTATATTTAGCTGTAGCATTTCTTACAACATTTAATAAACTGGCTGACTATGGCTTAGGCCATTCGTACTATAATGTGATAGAAATAAAAAAGCTTAACTATCTGATATAAGGAAGTCTTTATTTAATACATTTAAAATGTAACTTATTAGTGTTAACTTACTCTTAGTATAACTACACTCATTGAACATCTTATGAACAGGATAGGATGGTAATGTAAAGTCATCGATTCAAGTAATTTGCCTAGCTGTTTGATTAACCGGTTGAATATCATTCAGGTTTCTAGTTGAACGGCGCTGTTTAGTAAAGATACTAGGCTGTTAATTTAATGGAAATCCCTCATGTAATAGATTTTGTTTGAATTTTTGTCGTTTTCTGACGTATAGGTTTAGGTTTAAAGACATTTATTTTCTCATTACAGACAATGGTCACTTACATGAGACTTATAGACTAAAAATACAATTTATCACGTCGTGTTTAAGCGTCAAGGATCAATCATCGAAGTATAATTTGGGTGGACTGTCATTTGCGTAGGTAATTAGGATCACTCAGAAGATGGTCTTTTAGTTTAAGTTTAGTGGTAGTCTTGTGGTAGTCTATTGTAACGCAACACTCCCCCAACGCTCAATGTTTTTCTACCGTTATTAGTTCTAAACTTCGGTATAACAAGATTGTGAGGGCGTCGTGAAGTGCGCTTCTGAATTTGGCTTATTTTAGTAAAGGTAATGTTAGTATGTATGTGGTCGTTTAGAATTTTGTATATTAGTAAGCTGGTGTTATATTGGAATAATTGTTTAATATTCATGAGTTTTGTTTCACTGTAAATTTTTTGTGTAGAAGTTAAGTATGGGTAATGAAAAAGCAATTTAATTACTTTATTTTGAGCAATTTGAAGGTGAGAAATATTAGTTTTAGTCGCGGCTCCCCAAATTTCAATAAGGTAAAGAAGGTGTGATTTTGCCAAAGAATTATAAATATGAAGACGAACTTCACGAGGAAGGCTTCGAACTATGTGTCTAAGGGAACCTCTTAAAGAAGATAATTTAGTTATTAAATGATTTATGTGCGTTGTCCATGTTAAGTTATTGTCAATATATAATCCAAGATATTTTTCACTTTTCGTATTCGTATTGAGACTGCACTGTTTACCGTAGAAAGATAGAAAAAAGATTTGTTCCCTTATACAGAAGTACAGAACATGTACGCTGAAGCTATTGTTTCCCTTCGGATTCTATAGATCCAAATCTAACTAGAACTTTCAACTAGAGTAGGTATATTCTTATATAGAGGTTGAACTACAATACTCGACAACTTATATACTTCGACATAGAATCACTTTCTATCAAAAAATGGAGTAAGAAAGTAGTTTTGTTGTTGTTGTTCAGCAAAAGTTCAGAGATTTATTGGGGAAATATTTATTCGTATTTTTTTTTGGTAGGAATAAGTTTGGATTGTAGCCACCATCAGTTGATAAATAATTTTTCATTTTTGGTAGTGTTTCTGCAAAATATCGATGTGTTTTATTATTTTAAATGTAAAGATTACTAGACTATTAGATTTAAAGTACACTTTCTTATTAAATAAAGTTAACCGAATAAAACATCTTTAAAAACGGGCAATCCCATCATAAAACATTTATAAATAAAATAATAGACCTCGATGAAATCATTATTAGTTATAATTTAAATTATTCAACGAAGAATTTAATTGCACTAAAAATACACAAATTACGCGGAAAACCACACTAACTTTTCCACTTTTTCGCTCATTATTCCGTTCTTTATTCTAACTATATAGGTAAAAAAACATGAAAATGTATATAATACATTTTATACAAGTAAACACGACTCCTCTTTTCAGGATGCATCAGGAAAATGCATGGCAACACAAAAGCACCTTGTAAAGGAAAGTCCGGAAATGCTGGCCATTGCAACCTGGACAGGGCAAGTGCCGCAAAGACCACCGCTGCCTCCAGGAGCAAAATTATCACAGCTCATGGCTTTGGGGTCTCGAAAAGACCCCGGCCGGGTTGTATGGATGCTTGCTAAGTCGGATGCCGAAATGAGGTAGGTAGGCAATAAGGTTTTGTTACTTTATTTTGAGTATAAATTTACGCGAAATTTAAAATTGCAAAAGAAAATGTGTTTCATTTAAGAAGCAAAATTTAAAAAGAAAAGAACACATTTCTTGCGCAATATACAAATAAAACTAGCTACTAACATTTAACAAATTACGCGATTTACTTACGCGTTAAACTTTTTTTTCTTACTATATATATTTACATACTTACAACTTAAGTAAATGGTATTGTTACCCGGATGATTAAGCATTTTATTATTATTTTAACAACTTCTTATACAACATTTACATCAAATTCCAGAACGATTAGCCTTTTGTTGAACATTATTTCTTTTAAGTTCGTCTCTGTTACTTTTATTCCCATAGCTTGTTTAGTGTTATACCTCGTATCCATACATTGAACAGTCGGTCAGGTAACACCGTCTCTTCAGCTGTATTATTACAAGGACAGGCAGCACTAATCCTGAACCTGTAACGATACAAGAAGAATCCACCGTGACCTGTGAACATCTGGGTAATCAATCCCGTTGGTTTTATTTGTTTAATTATCGAAAATGCCGAAACAACATTTGGAAGGAATAACTTAGTTATTGCACGTATTTTCTAGTTTTACAAAGTAATACAAAAATTTACTCTAACACGACGTTATCAATTTCCCTCTTTACATATTCTCACAGTTAATTTCGTTGAAAGGTTCTCGACCTTTTCGAATGAAAGAACGAAACGAAAGTGTACGTTTCAGAGCTTAGAGAAAATAAAAATTCAATTTACTTAATTGACTAGATGATTCGTTGATACAATGATTTATTTTGACGTTGAAAAACACGGCTTTCAATTAAAATGAAAGGCTCGGATCAAACACTATTGATTATTGCTTTTTGATATTCAATTCGTTTTATTTGAAAACGAGATACTTTTTTTTCAATAGTTACGCTTTAATGGAGTGGATTTGTTGCCATCTGAAATCGGCAAAACATCGTGCTTGCTTTGTCATTGATACACGCTTTATGAATTATGTCAAAAATTAAAAAAGCGACATAGCCATCCTAATTTTAATTACCAGTGTAAGTGAATTTCTATATATTTAGTAAAGAAATTCTTCTTCACGAATACAACATAATTAACGGTTCTCATTCAGAGCTTAATATATTCGGTAGTGGGCTGATCAATTTAAATAAAAAATCGTAATAACTATTATTTATTATCTTTAAATATGTAATTATTTTACTTTTGTTTTTGCTCTCATGGAATTTACATTATATATAATTTTGTAAATCTTATGTCCACCGTAATTGTCATATATTTTAGATTATTAGATTAAAATTATGACAATTTTTTTTATTATACGTGATGTTGTGTGCCTTACAATACTATCACCCTACCAGTGCGGTATACATAATTAATGTATACTTTGTCATCTCATATAGTAAGTATTTTCCTAATCTTGTGTTATTACAATTTATTTGATATTAAACAACATCTCCTATTAATATGAGAGAAAAGCGACGCGATACCGTAATTAAAGCAATATCTATGTGATAGTTTGAAAGTGACTTCAAAAAGTTTTCCCGGCTTGGGAATAGGACACTGATTGGATAATGTTGAGTTGCTTTGACCTGTATTATTTATTACGAAAGATGAATTCTAACATATATATTCCATTAAGTATACTAATGTATACAAAAACCACATATACAATTTTACTATTAAATAAAAATAATTAAACTTATAATTACTGCATTATTGATATGCCATTCCCTTTAAATGTACTGATAGTTTTAATCGACGGAGACATACAAAATGGATATAAAGCTAGTTTCAAAAGTTAGGAACGAGTAAATTAGTTCGTTCGGTCAATTGTGTAAGTACATGTCAATACTCAATATATAGTAATACTCTATTAAAGACTTAACTTGGCGCCTGGTCGATAGTACCGGTGACCCCAGAGCATTTCTCGCTCAACGAATAAGTATCGCAATACAGCGAGGAAATGCTGCCAGCATTAAATGTACACAGCCGCAGGGACCAATCTTTTAAAAGTTCTTTTTGTTTTCTATTTATCCATTTTAATTATTATTCTATTATGTTAATAATATTGTAAATAATATTGTAATACTCTTAGTTATTTCAAAACAATAAATGTTTAATAGTGTCAAATGTATATAAAACATAAATCATAGATTTTATCACATTATGTGACCTGATTTTCATGATGACCAGCCCGGATCTACTCATATGAATCGGAAGAAACATTTAACTATATACATAAAGGTATACTACATATAGCTCACATTAATTTACAGAATAGTCAAACCGTTAGAGAAATTAGGATCTGGTAAAAAAGTGTGAAAGGTAGTTAAGAAATTATAAGTTAATTAAGAAATTGCATTTGGCAGCAAAATACACTCGCCAGAATCAAATTCCTAATAAAATATTTGCTGTTCAAATTATACAATGTTTACTTCTGTGTTCGCAGTAATTAAATAATTACCTATAAACGCTAATCTTATATATAAAATTCTTGTGTCACAATGTTAGTTACCATACTCCTCCGAAACGGCTCAACCGATTTTTATCAAATTTTATATGCATATTCAGTAGGTCTGAGAATCGGCTACTATTTTTTTTCATACCCCTAAGAGATAAGGGTTGTCAACCCCTAACATTTAATTTTTATTTTTTGGACGAAATTTTTTTATTTTTTTTATTTTTATAATGTGCCATTAAAAAATACATACAACCCTAAATTTTCACCACTCTACGATTAACCCCTATTTTATAGTATAGCAGATAGTTATTTTTATTGAACTAAAAAATATTTCCTAGAAATGCTATAGGTACATGGCAAAACAACGTTTGCCGGGTCATCTAGTACGATTTTTTTTATAAAAAAATTAACCCCCCCGGGAGCCGATATAAAAAATACTGCGTGAATTAATATATGTGTTAAGTAATACATTAATAAAATTAATGTTGAAATCAAAGCACGCAGCTCTATCTTTAATATTAATTAAACCAATTATATATTGAAACTGTACAGTTAGATTATTTTGGTTGAAACTTCAAAATATGTCAAAACAACATAAAAAAACAAAATTAACTTTTGTTATAATACCTATTAATAAAGAAGTAGATTGTGTTCGTGACTGAGGCAAAAGGCTTGACTATAAAATGACGTATACGTTTTTGTAAGACGTGTCAGTGAACATTTTCATGATGTCAACTGTATCAAAGTACCTACTACTTCATGTTAGAAGTGTTCTTGAATATGGTTGCTTGGTTTGCCCACCTTAAAAAAAATAAAAAGATTCCAAAGGAATTATAAAATTCTTCTCCTTTAAGACTTATTTTAGGATACAAATGTAAACGTTTGTGAACATTTTAAATTTGACACTTTAGTCTCTCAACGAAAACAATACGATATAATGCTACTACAACTATTAAAAGCTCAACTTGTTTAAGTTATCGCGGAATATGCTTTAAAGGAAGACTATTAAGAAGCGTTACTGGTAAATAACTGCAAATTCAAATTACCGAGAAGATCAATTAACATTGATTTTATATAATTTTTCGAGTATTTTTCAAGGGTCCGGAAAAAAATACTGTAATACGGACTGCATTGTGTATTCCATCTTTGGCTTTATCTTTAGTAATATATATATTATATAATAATTGTTTTTTGTTATATAGAATTTAATTTAGATGTAGGAATACGAAATAAATAAACATCTATTGCCCATTACAATATAATTTTGCCAACTGAACGTAATGAATAATGTTAACTTTTTATGTTACGCGATTGTCGAAATCGCTCCACTCAGCTTAGCGATTGGCCCAAGAGTGGAGATTAGGGAATGCAATCCCGCGAGATCCCGATCTCGCGAAATCTCGTGCAATTTTTCGAGATCAATACCGAAATCTCGTAGGATTAACGAGATTAAGTGGCAGTAGTATCAGAACAGTTAATCTCTTCGATGAAGTAAGGTATCTCTGAGCGTCTAGTAAATGCAACCGCAGCGTTGTAATATTTGAAAATCCCTGTAATTATAAAGACGACTTTGCGACAAAAACTTCCATGTGCCTAGAAAATATTTCATATGGAAAAAATTTAAAAATATAATTAAATAATATAGTCAGATCCTTTTAAAGTTCTGATTGTGAGATTAACACCGCAACAGAAAACTCTCTTTAATGATTCGAGTAGATTTGAATTTACGTGGCGCTGCAATAAAAACCACTACGACTCTTCAATAGGAATAAGAAGAGACTCTGAGAGCAGCTAAAAGTCCTTCTGGTGCTTCAGCGAAATAGATATGTCACTCATAAAAAAAATATGAATATATATCAGTGTGGGAGAGCAAGGGGTAGGCTTTTAACAGTTCGGTTATAATAGCTTACTCACGCAGGTACCAACCAATGTTGAGGCTGAGAGGGCATTTTCACGAGATCTCGAATTAACGATCTCGACTCAAGATTGCATACCCTAGTGGAGATGCGGCATCAACCAATGGCGGGTTGGGTTAAGTTCGACAACCTTAAGCAATGTGAGGGTTGAAATATACAACTTTTAAGTCCATTTATTTATGTAAAGAAAAATACAGATTCTTTCTTCATTCAGACATGGCGCTGGCGGCGTCTTACCTTTTTGACCAAGACCAAGGCTTTTGCGTTTCTTTAGAGACAGGTGGTTAATCTAGCATTCAGAGCCTCGATACACCTTCGATATTTATTTCTATACGGTTAGCTTACGATACCTTGAATGATGAGCAACTGCTATTTGCGCACATCAATCCATTGATGCACGATGAGTCCGGACGCACGACTTCAAGGTTGAGAGTCGACTTTGACGTCGCCATTTTCTACTCTATTTTACAAAAAAGCGTAAATTGCTGTATTGATAAACTTTTATTTATTTTAACGCTGTACAGAGAATGGATGGCTGCAATATCAAAGACCGTATGTATTATTAATATTTATGTAGAAATCTGATTTATCAGTATTAGAGGTCTAGAACAAAAACGAATTTTTGTGTGCTTTTGAGTGATTGGGACTTGGCAAAGTCTATTTTAAATTGTAATATAATTTTAGTAAAAAAAAATAACAGTATCACTGTGAACTAGTCTTACCACAATGTTATTTAATCTTAATTGAGTGTCAGTACACTTTTTTCAGACGCGAGTCATACTAACAAGTTTCAACTGTGTCTCCGAATCTCTAGGACAAAAGAGTCCTAGGGTAAAATGATATATAACATTAAGAAAATAAAAAGCTTCATAGCGTAGGACTAAACATACATAGGAGGCAAAGATTTGAGGAAATGTAACGATTTAGACAGGAAAATTAATTAATATAATTAAAAAGTTTTGTATTACTAAATTGATATGACTTACAGTTGCCTCCGCCGCCTCACATCGAGCTGGTGATGTCTATGCCGTACCTTCGTACTGCCTTCAAGAGACCGACTGTCCGAGTGCGGCGTAAGTTAATACATTTATTAGAAAGTACCATAAATATATTCCATACACATTATTTTCTTAGTAGTAAGATTTTACTATACAGTTAACTTATAAAAATCGCGGAAATAAAAAATGTACATTACCATTTTTATACAAAAGAAATTGTCTTTTAAAACTAGTTTTAATAGTTATATGCCAAAAATCCGTGAATATTGTCATCGTTAAAAGGATTATTGTCTCTGTATTACATCAGCTAATGTAATTTCCTGGTATAACATGTTTGAAATTTACGCATAAAATACTTTTGTAACTCACTTCGTTACGGAATTAAAAGGAAAATCGTCGAGTGGCGACTTTAAAATCGCGTAATTAGACCACGTGGATTTACACGAGTTATTACAGAATGTCAGACTTAAAAGCTTTCGAAGAGAATTCTGTATTTTAAGTATCAATATCGTCCTTACCTATTAAAAACTTAATTTAGTACGGATGGATTTTTTTAGTTTATTCGTTACAAAAATACAAATCTTGATAAATATAAATCTTCTGTGTGTGTTTCTAATTACTGCTCCTGAATTTGATTAAACTTTTTGTGTGTGTAAGTGAATTCGTGAATGGATTAAATTTACAATTAGATTAGATGTTTTTTTTAGGATTGACTTTTTTGTATTTCAGACGTGTCTAATTGTATCTTATAATATTAGAATATACACAATTCTTGAATTAACCTTAGCAGAAAGTTTTCAACGCGTTTTAACGCTCAGTCAGTATGGGCGGATATATTTTTGGAACTTAGAATTTATGTAGTTTATTACAGAAATATTTTTCAACACGAATAAATAAAACTAATGTTATTGAACATTATTTTAATTCATTTTGTAGATATATTTAAGCTTGTTACATTTTCTTTGTTTCCTCATTTCGTGTCTTTCGTCAATAAGTACCGTTATAGCAAATAACCGCCGATAAGTATAGTTGTATTTTGTTAAGAAAGAAAGAATACGTATTCTTTTTGTTAGATTTACTATTTAAATATACTTAATACTAGAGTATATGTAAATAGTAAATCTACTCATGTATAAAGTATATATAACACATTTTAAATCTAATATACATTTGTGAACCTACAAGAAAATCTGTGGTTTTGCTACCTCCAACATTCGTGTTTATTCCATACAGCCATGCTTTTATCAAAGCCAACAAATTGGTGTAATACTTAAAAGGGACTTTGAATTTAAGCTATCAAAGGCTCTATCAGTTTGCGACCTCTATCTATTCATTCAGATATTGATTTCAATAATTTATGAATAGTCAAAAGCTAACTAATTAGTAGTTGTAGTATCTATTAATTTTCCCTTAAGGTGATCTCGATAAACGGTTTTGATGTAGCGAAAGTTGAAACAGTTGTTATTTGTGTTTGTTGTGTACTACTTTATAATTAAATCCGTATTTGCGTATTGATGAAAAATTGACAAATAACCTAGCTCTTGTTGGAAGGTCGTGGTGCTGTCCACATACAATTGTCTATGATGCACTGCATTTAAACTTGGAATATCTTTATTTGCCACTAGTCCACCCTATCAGCTCTGCGTGTATACAGTAAATCCCAACTAAGCTTTAAACTGTATTTCACGGCACATAACGATCCTTCAAAAGCTAGGAAATACGATTTCAGAGTTAACTTGAAGCCATCTGAAACGCGAGTGATATGTCGTTTTAATTTAAGTCTCTCACGTTTCCCGAGATCTAATAACGTCCTCGGTTACTTTCGAAACTCAATAAGAACTACGACAAATCATTTATACCTGTGAAGTAATATTTAAACGTAATAACTGCACGGTTCGAGTGCATTGCTTTAGGGACAGACACATCTCACCTATGTACGATATGAAGGTAATTTTACCTACATTTACGAAAGAGATAGTCGGTTATGATGGCCATTAAATTAAAAAATATCAGCATTGTATATAAACTGTTATACAGAGCAATCAAAGAGTTAATCAAAGTTTAAATTTAGTCAGTTGGGGTTCATGTTAAACTTCAAGTTTTAACGTGGCAGTTATCTTTACAATCATTACGTAGAGAGCCGTATCAGTACATACCATATGAAGTTTTAAAGAACCCCTTTAACCGTACAGAACGTGCATAGGACAAACTGTACTTAAACGTACAAATTACTGTCTTTGATCATTTAAATTAATTTAATTTCGATATAATGTTTATATAATAACTATGTAATATTATTTTGAAAAATACATTTGTAGATTTTTAATAATTAAGAATCTGAATGCTTATAACGTCTTTGACTCCTTAATCATCTTGGTTTAGGCTCCGTATGTTCGAATTTTTATCTAATTTAATTTTAGTGGTCTATGAAAATGAAAACATAAATAGTTTCGTCCAGTAAATCTCCTTTTTACCTTTAATATTGATTAATTAAAAATCCAAAGATGCTCTAAAAATGAATGGAACACATATACGACACTCCAAGGTTGAAAAGGTTTAGTCATATGATTTTATGTGAAAGTATAATACTGTGTTTCTATAGAGCACTTAATCATTTAATTAAATTCATATACAAAGCTATTCATTCTACACAAAGATCTTGGTTAGTGGACGTATTATGTATGTGATGGCTTTTCAACAAAATCCCTCTATGAATTCGAATAAAATGAATGTTATACATAGTTCTTGATAAATCTTAAGTGAATGACCTCCTTCAAAGTATGTTTGAAGATGCAAATTGTATTTATACCAGTTGATTCAGTGTAGCATAAGTATAAAGATGGGAATAAAATTAAAGGGCTAAAAGGTTTTGTGTAGTGACCGCCGTTAAATAACCCGTAAAGCGCAAATTGTAAATATTTTCTGTTTTTCCGATTGTGACGGGTGTCGACCCGACTGAATGGATAATTCTTGGATACGTGAAAAGTCTATACCAATCTGAATATAATAAAAAAGTCCATTAAAAAGCCTTTTTGGATTAATCTCTGCGTTTTTTTACAGCCTGGACGTTGATCCGTTTATTTCCTCTGAACTTAATTTGATTCGGGCGTATTCGAAACAAAACTTTTAATGCATATAGCATGTCGTGAGTCGCTCGTATAATGTCGCATTAATCCCTTCTCTCTGTACTAAGCGAGGCTCTACTAATAAAAAAATGGGTATGAATAAATGGATATAAAATGATAAATTGATGCCATCTCTTCAATAAAACCAATTGGAAACGAATAGTAGCACGTGCGACACATCAAAATATGTTAATCAGTATTGTAATTTAATATTCAAACTCTTCACTCAGACTTCAAATTTATTAGTACTTGGGTGCCTAAGTAAGCTTTCGACTTGATTCTGAGACATGACAAAATGCAACATGTTTTTGTCTCTTTCTAAAACAATATAATACACATAATGTTTCTAACTGATAATTTTCTACAGAGAATAAATTTTTACTTCAACCCCTTCTTACACACAGAAGTATGTGTTAGTTGAAAGGCTATTGGCGGTTTACTCAAAAACACAAGCTTATCATTTTCAATAATGTGCTGTCAGTGGATCAGTTGTTCCTTTGTCGGGTTACATTATCGGGCCTAGCTCTGAGGCACGTTTCATACGCTAAAAATATAATCTCCGTCTTTATATAAAAGGCGTACTTTAATACTAATGTAATGGATGACATGGGAACAATAAAGGTATTTCATGATACAGGTTTTTCCTTTTTGCTCTTAATAGAAGTTAGAAATGTTATGAAATTATCTTTACAATATATGTAGTATAAAATTTGTTCGCTCTCTGGAAATATATTTTATATATTCTACACGTAGAGCAGTGCTGGCCTGGTGGCTTCAGCGTCCGACTCTCATCCCTGAGGTCGTAGGTTCGATCCCCGGCTGTGCACCAATGGACGTTCTTTTCATGTGCGCATTTAACATTCGCTCGAACGGTGAAGGGAAACATCGTGAGGAAACCGGCTTGCCTTAGACCCCAAAAGTCGCGGGTGTGCGTCAGGCACAGAAAGCTGATCACCAACTTGCCTATTAGATAAACAAATGATCATGAAACAGATACAGAAATCTGAGGCCAGTTCTAACGCCATAGATTTATTTTTTTATTTTATTTTTTAAGCTATTGCATAGCTTCTATCGCGGGCCTTGAGCGTGGAGACCGAATCCAGAAATTCCGTAACGAAAATAACCTAACACACATTGACGTAACGTGACGTCTCACATCGGGTGCAGCCGGTACGCGTTAGAGTGAGACACACTATATAGGCGTGTTAATCTGAGTCTGGTAGAGTGGTAGATTATGGAATGAATATCAAAGAAAAAACTTGATTTTATATTTTACACCTAAACCACTAAGCGCCTACAGAACTAAGACTAGCAATCCTGTCTTGCAACAAAATTGCTTTGCGGTGGTATTCACAGAACATTTTTTACCTAGTTTCCATTAAAAAATTTCAATGTAACACATTAAAAATGTTTGTTTATTGACTATGAAAATTTAAATTTTGTTTATATCACACCTATCATTTACCATGTCTTTCGGTCTTAGTTAAATTGTGTTTCAGCAACACCGGAGATGTACAGTCGTAATGGTCGCAATGCGTTCGGAGCTCTCGACGGTCGTGGACTAGTTGCGGTCATCAAGCGACAGGTGCCATTGGCTGGGCAGTTGAATCATGAGCTTGCCTGGGGACAGGGTTGGGGCTGGGTCACGTTACCCAACGGTGTCTGGAGTGGGCGTAAGTAACACTTATTAGATAAATAAAAAATAAAAATAGCCTTTATTTGAGTACACTATAACTACAGTAAGTCCATGTCTTTTAAGTTTTACACTAGTACTCGACCACGGCCGGGTGAAGGCCTCCTCCAGATTCTCCCATTTGTCCCTATTTGTTGCGACAATTTTCCAGCTTTTTCCCGCTATCCCTTATTTCATCCTTCCAAGTTTTTGGTGGGCATCCTCTCTTTCTTCTTCCCACTGGGCTCTTCTTAGGAAGGGTCTTTTTGACCCATCTGCCATCACAAATGCGGCCAATGTGACCGGCCCATTTCCATTTTAGCCTTTTTGTATATGTTACAACGTCTTTTATTTTTGTACGGCTTCGTATCACCTCGTTTTTTACTTTGTCTTTTAGTTTCAATTGAAGAATCGAACGCTCCATAGTCTTTTGCATACTCCAATCTTCTTTATTAACGCCTTATTAAAAATCCAGGTTTGGCATCCCTATGACAGACATTCTTTTTATAGTTAAGTTATGGTTGGATTTCATTACTTCTTTTTAAGCCCAATATTTGTTCCATGCTAGGTTTACTCGTCTGTTTGATTTCACCATTTATAAACTATTTGTTTTCCCTAGGTATATGTAGTTTTTTTTTGAGAAAATAACTATATCGTCGGCGAATCTCAAGTTGCTTAGATATATGTAAATAGTTTGTATATACAAAAACTACAAGCTCAGTGTAGTATACTGTATAAGTATGTAATGACTTTACTTACTAAAATTGCAGGATTAACTTGGTCCCAGGATGGTGAGGACTTTGCTCTTCACGCGATGCCTATTATGCACCACTCCAACGTCTCAGAAGCTTGCTCCATGCTCGACGGAGTGACAGCTTACGAGGCCTCCGCGTACGATCAAGCTCTTGCTGAATACGATGACACCGCTACTGTCTCTGATGATTGGGATTTCAGCGTTGATTGCGGGGATTTTATGATGTAAAGGAAATATTGATGGTTCTAACGAAACCCTTTTTGTTCGGTCTTAATAGGAAAAACCATTTAAAGAGTGATGAGTTTAGCCTTAACTGAATTTGGAATGTATAAAGATTTTTGAATGGATCCGAACATTTAATTGTGATTATCATTCAGTTAAACTATTGATTTTGTGAAGTTGGGTATTTTTTTATTAAGTTCGACTTTTGGTAAACTGAAAACGTTTTTCATATTTGACACACGATATATAAGTTTAAATTATTATTTTTTCGTAATTGCTCAATGTGCTGGTCACAGAACTTGAAACTGATGTGCCAATTATTAAAAGAAATCTATGATGAAATTGTGGAAGCGTCTTATGACTTTTATACCTTTTAGGGTAATAAACGCGAGAGAATATTAATGACACAATATCGATTGATTTTTCAATACTAGTTGCATGCTCTATAGTTACGATGTCATAGATATGTGTTTAGACGATAGTTGACTATACAGCCTACAAAAGGCAACCTTAGAATAGAATAGAACTCCGAGCACTATAGTCTCCTATTTAAGCATATTTTATACCATTTATATTGCCATATGTTTTAAATATCTTCCTTTTTATACTATTTGTAATTTGTAACTATTATTTGGTGTTCAGCAAATTTCTCGGAACTTTTTGGATTTTTTATAAGCCACGTAACCAGGGTAAGAAAACTTATAATCCCGATGAATTTAAATATTCAATTGTAATAAAAGATAAATTGCATTGTATCTGTATTTTTTATTTTTATAGAATAGGTGACTTGCTTGATCCCCGTAAACACCAATTAAAACTGTAGTAAAATAAATATTTTAGATGTAAGTGAAAATCGGTGTTAGCATGTAGTATATACGTGGTCGGTAGTTATTTATTAACCCTATGACCCTAATGAGGTCATCAAAGAATTCTACAAAATTGTGACCTAAAATACCGGATAATAAACCTAGTTCGGTTTAGGCCTTAAAATTAGGACCAACAAATACCCGGAAGTATGAGGCCTCTATCCAATTATTAAGATAGGTGTGTAGTTAGTATTATTGAAAGGAATAAATAATATCTAGTGGCTAAAATGTTCCGACCTACCCAAAGACTGCCTTACGTATGTAACCTGTATCCTGCGTGCGTGCTAAGGTGTGGCACCTGCGTGAATCCTCCTCCTCCTCCTCCTGCGAATTCTTATATTGCAGAATTATTCTATCGACAATAAATAAATTATCTGGCCTGACATTCAACAAGTAATTGTCTTATTCGTTTAATCAATTATTTTATCCTTTAATTTTGTTTTTATGTATGGTTATTGTCAAGTATATTAAAAAAGGAGAAAATAATTATAATGTATAATTCTGCAATGTAATTTTATGTAAATGTTGTAGCAAGTAATTGTTTTTAAATTTTAGTAACGATAATCTGTGTATTGAATCCAAATGGTATTACAAAAATATTACGCGTTTTCCAAATGTATGTATTACATAAACTGTCTTTTTGCACAATTCGCTTGGTCATCAATTTACTTAAATGTGTATTTTTTTATATTAGAACATACTGTCACAAGTATGAAATATATATCATTATTTTTTTTTCAAACAAGACGCTGGTGTCGTCGTCTAATTATAATGATATTTTTATACGAAAGCTTGCAATGTTTTTTATTAAAAACTATATTTTGTGTAACGTATCAAAAATACAATGAAAGAATTATGTTTGTAAATGATACTATATTAGAATATTTATTACTATGTTATTAAATAACAAAGATATTTTTATCTTATTAAATTGAACCAAACCGATACATCGATCGTTCGTAGATAATATAAGATCAATACACAATGCGACTATATTTTCAGCGTTTGCGAGGGTTACAACTTACACTCAGTGGCAGTACTACTGAGGATGTAGCAACTATGTCATGTGTCAACTGTTTTGAGAAAAAGAATTGTAACTCATATTACAAAATACAAACGAATGGCAGGACGACAACGAATCAACAAAAGCCATATTTAATATAGAGCATAGAGCAGTGTTGGCCTAGTGGCTTCAGCGTGCGACTCTCATCCCTGAGGTCGTAAGATCGATCCCGGGCTGTGCACCAATGGAATTTCTTTCTATGTGCGCATTTAACATTCGCTAGAACGGTGAAGGAAAACATCGTGAAGAAACCCGCTTGCCTTAGATCCAACACGACGGCGTGTGCCAAGCACGGGAGGCTGATCATTTACTTGCCTTTTAAATTGACTAATGATCATGAAGCAGATTCAGAAATCTGAGGCCCAGACCTAAAAAGGTTGTAGCGCTACTGACTATTATTATTAATATTTAAGATATAAAACGGGGCCTTTTTGTTGGTTGGTTGTTACGTACGTTTTATATACTAGTAGGCAACCAATTGGCTTATTAATTGTTTTGTTGCATGATATATTTACAATGTTTTTTTAATGGCGGTCTTGCTTTTTGGACTGCTATGTCGTTGTTTAAATGGAAATATAGTCGCATGCGTATGTGGTCTAATGAAAATCGCGTAGGTAGCTGTGCGTAGCAGATGTGTTGCGTGTTCCAAACGGCACTAGTGACGTTCACATATTGAATGTTTATATGTATCTTTTGTATAAAATAAAGGCCTTTGTGGTATAGATTTTTATTAAAATTACCCATCTGTTATACCTTTCCTCTCCGTGGTTATTTAAGCATAAGTCTTATAGTCTCAAGCCTAGTCGAGTGGGAAAACTCGACTCGAAATCTAGACCCGAAAACTACAAAGACGGAACTTTATATTTGCCATGAACAAGTGGCGCCATCTTGTGTACCGGCCTTGCACTGCTAAGCACAGAGCTCTGTGTAGTTTGAGACTTGAGTTGTCATTTGGTAGCGGATATCGTGCAAGAGTCGCTTGGCGACCAGCGACTGCTTGCAATATTATGCTTGTTTAATCGGTGTGACTGATCGTTTACGGTCGCGTTTTATATTAAAAAAGTTTGTTCCACATTTAAATTTCTATCGTCTGTAAACAAGTCGTCAAATTTGAAATGTCTAGTCAAAATTTGTAAACAGATATTTGTTTGGATAAATCGCGTGTTTTCGTTTTATTTATGGAATATTATTATTAAAGTTTTTTCAACATTTACCAGGCTTTTGTTAGTGTTTACAATTACCAAAATATAGAACATGGAGAAGTCTGGAGGCTCACGTTTGTTGCAAATGCAGGTATGTTATAATTTCTAAGAACCAATATTACAACTGCGTAGGTAGGTATGTATTTTAAAAAGGATTAAAAGGGTAGTGTAATTACTGAATGATATAATTTGTCGATTTTTTTGATAATAGTAATATTATTCCTATCTATGTATTCAAAAGAAGTTACGTACCTATACAAGTATTGAATCAGTTACACCATTAATAAAAACAAACAATTAGCTTCAGTATTTACTAATAGTAAATCTCGTAATCGATCATTACCCATAGACATCCTTACAGGTCTACTGGTACCTATTGATACATAAAAGATAGTCTGCCTTTTCTAATTTGATATTTATTATGATTATTTTTAGGTTACATCTTTATTTTCTATATTTTTTCATTAGGTATGTTAAGATTATCTGACTAAGTTAAGACGTCTAACCAAAAATATAATGAATCACTAACGGTTATTTTTTTAAACCGAGTTCGTTAGATTGACGCAAACTTACATCTGTCTTTATTGTACATCGCAGCTTTATCCCAAGTGCGAGAGAAATAGAAATATGAAGCATTTTGCGAACCTTGACCTCGGTCATTTCGTTCATTTGGTTGTTCAATGGAATCGTAATACTATTATTCCTTAATTATGATTCGAGGGACGTAAATGGTTCCTAGGACCAAGATGCCATAAAATATAAAGTAATTACCAGTTCACTATACTTGATAAATATTCATTTTATCCAATTATTATATTAGTAACAGATTTCATGTATATTTTTTTTTTATATTAACAAAATCGCTTTTTGTGATGTACACAATTATTAAAACTTCACAAAATAAATAAAAAGTCAAAACGTGGACATTTGTAAGTTAAAAGGAACTCTGCAATGCAACTAAGACGGAAAGGCAATGACCGTATGTTACTGTACATTCTCGACGAAAAGCAATTTAATGCTGATAGCGCACTTGCAACTTTAGTGTAAGCAACATTTTGGCTACAGATCTGGGTTATTGGGTATTATGTAAACAACGAAAATCTCAATTTAAGATATATATGTACTTATTTTTTCCTTCACCTTACAAGTTTAATATCCACATAAACATCAACTTTCCTTGGTACACGTCGGGGTTCGTCGGGGTTCGTATGACGTAAGATAAGATTAGACATTGTTTAGGACCTCAGAATCTGCCTCATACAGTCACACCCCATTGTTACAGAAACACAGTATGGACCAATAACATATCATTCGTAATGTCGTTTTGACAATTGACATAAAACACTTTAGAGTCGTTCAATAATGTATTATCGACGTTTCAAGTGCTTTACGGTAGTAGTATTCCAAACTTCGAATTGTGTAAAGTGGCGTTTATGGTCAAACACCGCTTATCTAAACGAACGCTGGAGATTCACCCTCCAGGTGCCGCACTGCACCATTTGCATCGTCGTTTCCTGTAAAACCAGCAAAGGAGTGTAACGCCTTGCCAGCTTCCCTAGACAGTATAATATGTGTCAATTTAAGCAGCGGTTGAATAGTACGTTGTCAGGCGTTTACGTCTGTTTAGTTCTGTATAATAAGCAATTATGGTTTTATTTAAATATTTGCGAAAACCAAAGACGAAAGTGTATGTTACACAATAACTGATAAAAGAAATTAACTATTGACTATTATAGGACAAGTTGTCGTGTCATGCTGCCCCATTTCAACTGGGTCGATACCTTGACAGTGTTTTATTCATATATTGTAATTCAGGTCACTATTGAAAAATATCCTATTGATTCCAGTACTTTAACTTCGGTCTGGACAGTTTTT